CCCCTTTAGTCGGAACTAATGTTATTTCGACAGGTAGGTGTCGAAATTTGTTTTTTTTTTTTTTTTTTCTTTTTTCGACACGTTGGTGTCGAAAATTGACCAAAAAATCGACATGTATGTGTCGAAAATTGCCGACGGGTTTCAAAAAAAAAAACTTCAAAATCGACTTCGAAGCTCAAAAAAGACATCGATACTTACCTTAATGGCTTCTCTTTCCACATATACTACCATATTATTGTCTTATAACTCCATTTTATAATTTTTGTGAGGTTTTGATTTTTTGAATTTGGAGATGTTTTGGAGGATTTAGGAAGATGAAAAAGATAGGGTTTAATTGGGTTGTCGCGGCAGTTACGAGCACGTGCGGTGGCGTTCGGCGGCGGCGGCGGCGACGGCGGTGGCGGCGGCGGTGAGGGTTGGAGAGGAGAAGAAATGGTGGAGGTTTTTTTTTTTTTTACAACAAAGGGTTTTTTTTTTGGTTTTTGAATAGGTAATTTCTAAAAAAAATTGATATAATTGATATTTTGTATGAAAGGGTGTTTTTGTACTTTTCTTTTTATTTTGGTATTAAAGTAAGAAAAAACTGATAAATATGTACTCAATTTTGGTTTTAAACTTGGTAGTATTCAAGTAAGCAAAAATTGGGATTTAAAATAGTTGCCCCCTTATTCAAAAACCAACTTCAATAATTACAAATTTGGCGGTTTGACTCTTTGTGAAATTCATACTGAAAAGGGATCAAAATCCTATTTAAAGTTGGAACCGTATCGATAAAATCTAAACAACATTAAACACATCTGCGTTGTAATTTTGTTAATTACTTATTTGGGTACGTGTTAACTGTTAAGTGTACAAATCTACACTTATGAACATCCATTCAAGTCAAAAGTCGAGACTGCATATGTATTTCATTAAAATAATTTCTCTAGTCATTATTTTATTAATTTGTAGAGGTTTAACTGTGTCTGAATTAGTGTATTTAAAAAACAAAAACTAGAAAAAAGACAGAAAAATAAGTAATTTTGTGAGCATTATCATGTCATTACAATCCATCATGATCACAATTAATGTTAATGTGACTGAAAAATCAAGAATGCAAATCCCCCAATTATTAATTAAGAGGGATTGATAGAGCTAGGGCAACTAAATTAAGGCCCATACACCCAATTATTGGTTCCAATATCACTACAAGATATGTTAGGAATACTGTGTGTGTGACCACTATGACACATCCACACGTGTAATATAGGAAAATTAGAGTGGAAACCATTTAATTTATTTTCTTTTCAATTTAAGTACAATTTATTTTTTATTTGACATATAATACCCCTTAGTATTTATCGACTTTGGTTTGCAATTAAGTGCTCCTATTTCATGAAAGTAGTAACACCCCTTCCCCTCGATTAATTTTGTAGGGGTCACTAAAACGAAAAACTACAATTTTATCATAAACAAATACACAATTTTGTTAATAAAAGACTATATATAGGGGTGGAAATTGAAACGGAATTTCCGAATTCCACCAATTCCGATCCGAAAATATTCGAATTTGGAGCACTTTTTTTTTCATTCCAATTTCTGATATTCCGATTTCTGATTTTTTCGATTATTTTTGGAACGGAAATGGAATTACATATAAAATTATTGAAAATTCCGATATTATTTCCGATATATATATATATATATATATATATATATATATATATATATATATATATATGTTTTGCGAGAATTATGTTTACTTTTTCTTTGGGGGGGGTTATATGCGAGTCCATTTTTTTATTAGTTCAAGACCTCCCACATAAAAATACTAATTTACCCTTAATGAAATTCAAAATCAAATAAAAAACACAAAGCATAAAAAAAAGAAAAATCCTTTGCGCAAGACCAAATAAAATACATAACCCTTGAAACCCCCTTTCATTATTTCACGACTTAAAAAAAATCAATTGATCAATTAAAAGAAATATTTTAACTGCAAAACATTTAAAAAAAATCAATAGATCAAATACATAATATATTATTTAAAAAAAAAGGAAAAAAAAACGAAAAAAATCGGTATACTAAAACCGATTTTGTACTCGATAATCGACATTATAACGCCATTTTTTATTTGTAAAATCGACGTTGTATAGCCGATTTGGTTAACAAATTTCGGCATCATGACGTCGATTTTCGTTTAATAAATCGGTCTGTGTAAACAGATTTCCGAAACCAACGAAGAATAAAAAAAACCAATTTCAATCTCAATTTTTTTTCCCAAATCGGCTAAATCATTGCAGCCCAACAAAAAATAAGTATAGATTAATGTTCATCCACGCATATTTATCAAGAATCGATGCTCGATTGATATTTTTCGTATGTACAAACAAAAGTTTAGTAAAAGGGGCTTACTTGTTGGTGGTGGTGCGGTGGTGGTGATGGTGCGGTGGTGGTGATGGTGGTGCGGTGGTGGTGATGGTGCGGTGGTGGTGGTGCAGTGGTGGCGGCATGCTGATCGTCATCGGTGGTCTGGCAATCGTCGTGCGGCAGTCTTGTACGGTCGTGCGTATTTTTTTTTTGTCTTGAACAAATAAAAAATAGGATTTATTTGTATTTGGATATTATTTGTGGATAAGGGTATATTCGTCCTCTTTGGTTTTGATGTAATAAAATTAGATTAATTTACGGGTTTGAACTAATAAATCCCTTTATGTGGGTTCAAACTTCAAACTAATAAAAAAAATGGACTTACATATAACCGCCGGCTTTTTCTTTTTTTGAAAATTTGCAAGAACTATGTTTGTTTTTACAAGTGTATATATTTCACTTGTTGACCTTTGTATTGGATTCTTGCCTTTTGCCGAAAAATTAAGAAAATATTAGAGA